GGCCCCCTTAGAGGCCCCAGGGAGGCCCCAGAGAGGCCCCCGAGAGGCCTCGAAGAGTGGTGTCGTTCGTGAAGTTTTCGAACATTCTTCCTCTTCCCTTTCTTCTCCTTCTCCTCCTCTTCCTCCTTCTTCCCCTTCTCCTGCTCCTCCCGTTCCTCCTCCTCTCCCCTTCTTCCTCCTCCTCCTCCGGAACAGAGACCCACAGCGGCCCCCAAACGGCCCCCAAGAGGCTTCCAAAATTGCCTCCAAGAGGCCCCCGAGAGGCCTGCCACGACATCCAACGAACTTCCAAGAGGCCTCTGACCCACAACCCAGGCACGGTGGCGGGATGGGCCGAAGGCCACATAGACGATTTTAAACGCCCAAGACGGCCTCCAGACGGCCGCCCCAAGAGGCCCTAAGATACCCAAGAGGCCTCCAAAATGTTTCCCCAGAGAGCTCGAAGACGCCAGCAAACATTCTTTTCCACAGGTTTTTGAGCAGCTTGGGCGTGTCCGCTTGCCACGGAGGAGACGAAGTAGACGGATCAGGCATTGCATCTGTCCTCATATCATTGTCGCCGATTCTGCGCTCCCGAGGAGAGATCAGGAGGTTCACATATTTTGAGTACTTCACACGGCATTGGGCATCTGAGAAGAACTGTGGTCGTTGGCGCCACGGTGTGGTCCACGTGTTGCCGGGCGGGGGCTGTCCCGCCGTTCGCGGCTACTACTCTGCGTGCTCCAGCCCACTGACACAGACTGTGAATTCTTGGCACGGCAGTCTGCATCTAGAGGAGTGGTGGCGCCCTGCCGTCCCCAGGCATTTTGAATTATGTTTGTTGCGCACGGCAGTGGGCATCTTAGCATATGATGGCCGTTGGCGCCACGATGTGGTCCACGCATGGCCAGGCGGGGACTGTCCCGCCGTTGGTGACCATCATTGTGCATGCTCACGCCTTTTTTCAACATACTTAACCGAACAGGGGCTCAGCGAGCGACGATGACAATAATGATGATGATGATGATGATGATGATGATGATGATGATGATGATGATGATGATGATGATGATGATGATGACGACGACGACGATGACGATGACGATCACGATGATGATGATGATGATGATGATGATGATGATGATGATGATGATGATGATGATGATGATGATGATGAGGATGATGATGATGATGATGATGATGGTGATGATGATTTTGATGATGCTGATGGTGACGATGATGATGCTGATGATGATGATCATCAGCATCATCATCATCATCATCATCATATCATCATGATCCTCGCGATGATGATCATGATGATCATGCTTGTGACGATGACGAGGCTGATCGTGGTCATGATAATGATGAGCATGCTGATCATGTCCGTGCGGATGGTGATCATGCTGATCATGATAAACACGACGATCATCACAATCATGGTGATCATGATTGTTATCACGGTAATGGTACTCCTCCCCTTCCCCTGATCCCTCTCACCTCCCTGACTTCCTGCTGACGGGAGAGGAGGATGGAGGAGGACTTTCTGCTGACGGAGGAGGAGGATTAGGAGGATCAAGTGGGTGAGGGCGAGCATGATTTTGGTGGTTGGTGCTAATGCCGATCGTGCTGCTGATGATGCTGTTGTTGCTCATGATGGTGGTGGTGGTGCCGATGCTGATGCTGAAGCTGAGTATGATGATTAGGAGGGCGATGCCGACGACGACGGCGATACCGATGACGATGACGATGACGATGGCGATACTGATGATGCTGAGGATGATGATGATGATGACGCCAACGGCGGTGACGATGACGATGACGATGACGATGATGATGATGATGATGATGATGATGATGGTGGTGGTCATGATTATGGTCATGATCATGACGATGATGATCTTGATGAGCATACATATGATGATCATGGTCGTGACCATGATTAGCGTGATGACAGTATTCGTGCGGATGGTGTCGATGACCATGCACCATCATAACCACGGATACCATCACAACCATGATGGTCATGATGATCACCATGATAATGATACTCTTCCCCTCCCTCTTCTACCTCTCACCTGCGAGACTTCCTGCTGACGGAGGAGGAGGTGGATGGAGGAGAACTTTCTGCTGACGGAGGGGTAGGATGAGGAGGATCAAGAGGATGAGGACGAGGCATGATGTTGGTGCTGATGCCTATCGGGCTGCTTATGATGATGTTGATGCTGATGATGCTGGTGGTGCCGATGCTGATGCTGAAGCTGAGTATGATGATTCGGAGGACGATGCCGATGACGACGATGACGATGCCGATGGAGATTGTGATGATGCTGCTGCAGATGTTGAGGTTGATGACAATGATGATGATGATGATGATGATGATGATGATGATGATGATGATGATGATGATGCTGATGATGACGATGATGATGATGATGATGATGATGATGATGATGATGGCGTTCCAGATGGTCCTTTGTGCGGCGGGCTTCTCCTCGGTGGGAACCCAAGCGCTTCAGGGTTGCCAGTGTTTCCAGAGCTAAGACAGGAAACCTTCACATATTACTTTCAATTGAAGGGCCAGCGCGGGACGCAGTAAGACCCACTTGGCCGCCCGCCGGGCCGCAGAATAACCCAACGGGCCGCGCAAAAGACCAGCGGGCCGCACAACAAAAACACTCGCCCCCAGTCGCCGCTCACTCGTCTCGACGAAGATCTAGGGCTCCTGGATTCGCAGAAGACATGACGCCACAAACATCACATTTTGGCGCTCCGCGCGGGTTTCTTGGATCTGCTTTGGGCCCCCTCCGGCGGCGTGCTCCGTCGCCGCCCGTGGCGCGCTCCGCGCACCAGGCAGGGGGGTCCAGCTCGGATCCGAGAAATCCGCGCGGAGCGCCAAAATTTTATGTTTACAGCGTTGATTCTCCTTCCTACAAAGAAAATAAGCTCTACCCCCCCTCCCCCGGCGTTATCGCCCCCCTTTCGGGTATGTAAATCACACATGATTCTGACCACATCTGCATCCTGAATATGAATTCAGAATGTCCCAGGCCAACCGGTATCACCCCCTTGAGGTCCCCTTGTGAGCAACATTATGCGGTGAGATTTTTGTTTTAGCATAACACTTTTTCGCGAATCCCTTGCAAAACATTTGACGAAGTGCACACGCGCGCGCGTCGTCGCGCGCGCATGCCGACATCCTTCAAAAACCTTCGCTGCCGGAAGGATTTCGCAATCGAGTTTCTAAAAAACAGACAAAAACAGAGGGTTTCGTAACACTGATTTGCTAAGAAAGCTTACGCGCGAGCTCTTGCGAAATCTTAAGAAAACCAATGGTTTTTCAATATTTTCACAACATGCTACCAAACGGGCGTCGCGCGCATGTCGAAATCTGTCGGACGCCCTTGCGCGTGTGCCGTCGCGAGAATCCTCTGCAAAGAATTGGACGAAGTGCAGACGCGCGCGTCGTCGCGCGCGTACGCCGAAATCCTTCAAAACCCATCGGTTTCGGAAGGATTTCAAAATCGCGCGTCCAAAAAACCTACAAAAACACAAGGTTTCGCAACACGGATTTTCAACAAAAGCGTGCGCGCGCGCTCTTGCGGCGTCGTCGGCGTCGTCGTCGTCGTCGTCGCCGTCCTCCCTCCTCCCGCATCGTCGTCGTCGTCGTCGTCGCCTACGTCGTCCTGTGTCTTTCCTCGTGTTCGTCGTCGTCGTCCTCTTTGGCGTCGTGGTCGTTTCCGTCGTCGTTGTCGCTGTGGTCGTCCTTCCTCCTCCTCCCTCGTCGTCGTTGTCGTCGTCCGTCGTCGGCGTCTCGTCGTCGTCCCTCCTATTTCGTCGCCGTCGTCGTCGTCGTTGTCGTCGTCGTCTCGTCGTCGTCTTCCCTCCTCCCTCGTCGTTGTCGTCGTCGGCGTCGCCGTCCTTCCTCCTTCTTCGTCGTTCTCGTCGTCGCCGTCCTCCCTCTTCTCTCGTTGTCGTCGTCTTCGTCGTTGTCGTCGTTGTCGCCGTCGTCGTCTTTTCTCCTCCCTCGTCGTCGTCTTCATTGTCGACGTCGTCGTCATCGTCGTCGTCGTCGCCGGTGTCGGCGTCGTCGTCTTCGTCGTCGTCGACGTCGGCGTCGTCGTCGTTGCCGCCGTCGTCGTCGTCGTCGTCGTCGTCGTCGTCGTCGTCGCCGTCGTCGTCGGCCGTCTTGCTTCTCCGGCCTTCTTGGGCCGCTCTTGAGACGCCCCCGAGGGCTCCACGACGACCCTGGAGCGATATCTGTGCTCGGTCCCGCATGGGTTTTGCAAACCATGTTGCGGGTGGGTGGGTGGGATGATTGTGCGAGCAGTGGAGTTGACAACTTCAAGTTCGGCAAGTGGTTTCTTCTCCTATAGATGAGATCGGAATGCCGTAGACCCGCATGGCAAGGATGCGGCAGTTTTCCCGAGAGTACCCTTGCAGCTTTGCCTCCTCGGCCCATCCTTGGCCACTTTCGTTGGCCGCGCCTCGCTCGAAAAGCTTCGAAACGGCCTTCCAGAGCCCTTGCAGCCTTGTCGTGCATCCTTATTGTACGGTCGACTGTAGGTTGGGTCGGAGGATCGTTCCGCATCGCCGATGCACCGGCGATGCGGTTCGGTGCGGAGACCGATGTATGTCCACGCCGACGTCGCCGACGCATCGCCGACGTCTCCGATGCATCGCTGATGCATCTGCGATGAATTGGCGATGCACTGGCGGTGCGGCGCGATCCTCCGCGCATCGGGGCTCAAGAGACGGGGGTCAAAGCAAACGAGGGTGCGTCAGGGCGCCGGATTTGAAGGATCCTACAGGGCCAGGGGCACACTGACCCGGGTTTGGGCGCAGGATCATGCAAGGCCTGATTGACTGACCCAGGTCTGGGTTAACCCGGGTCAGCAGACCCCCGATCGAAGAAGAAAATATTGCATAAAGAATTTTCAGCGGTCCGTGCGGATTTCTTGGATTTGCGCTGGAAGCCCACGGCGGCGCCTGCAGCGCCGCCTTTGGCGCGCTCCGCGCAGGCGGTCAGCGTCTACACCGGGAGTGGCCGCTTGTTGAGCCCCCCAGACGGCCTGATCCAGCAGGGCGTCTTCTCGAACAGCGAGTGCGTACCTCTGAAGCTCCACGGTGGCCGTCGCCGTCAGTTGTTGGTCTATCGTCGTCGTCGCCATCGTCCTCTTCCTCGTCGTCGTCCTGTCCATTAGATTGCAGACGCCTCTGTTTTTATTCAATGTTCCAGGCCCTGGTGTTTCGATTCCAGCGCTCGTGCGGATGTCGCTCCGTGGGCCATCCCATGCAATGCAGCTCTGATCAATTGTATGGTCTGGTGGGCAACGTCCTCAAGAAACCGAGGAGATTGGGGCATCTGACTGGATCCGGGCAGGGGCATTCCCCAAGGATCTGAGGGGTCCCAGGAAGCAGGGCAGGGAATGATGTGAGCCACCGGCCCCCCTGAGCACGCCACCAACGAGGGCACCTCGGGCAAGCCACGCCTGGTTGGCCAGAGCGCTTGAGCTCAAGGAAGTTCTGCTTGGTGGAGTGTCAAGGGTCGGAGTCGTCCATCGTACGAGCTTTCAGTTGGCAGCTTCGAGATCATGGAGGAGGAGGAGGAGGAGGAGGAAGAAAAGGAGGAGGAGGAGCAGGAGGAGGAGGAGGAGGAGGAGGAGGAGGAGGAATCTGGCTGCGTCGATCTGTTCAGCGCGGATGTGCTGTCGACGCTGCTGCCGGCCTTTGCGCGTCTGTCTGCGGCGGCCACCACGGGCTCCCACGCTGACGGCGCGACGTGCTCGGGGCTCGTGTGCGACGGCGTTGAGCTTCAGCCACGCGCAGAGGGGGGTGGGGGGAGGGGGGAGGGCTTCTTCGAAGCACCCTGCTTCTTAGAAGGCGCGGGCCTTCTCTGCAGATTTGAGGCCGGCGCCTTCTAAGATGCAGCCTCCTTCTAAGAAGCCCCCCCCCCTCCCTCCACCCCCTTGTGCACGCCTCCAACAGCTGGCAAAATTAACTGGCGAAGAACGGCATAACATAGACTTTTTCGATGACGGGGGCGCCTGTCCCGGGCGGCTGGAAAGTTTCTACGCTTAATGTGGCACGTCAGGGTATCAACTTTCCAGCCGCCCCGGGGCAGCGCCCCCGGTGACGGAGAAGTTTGTTTGGTGTTATTCAGCGCCCGCTAAGCAACATGTGCCAAGTTATTTGGCCTGCTAGGACCTGCTCTTAAACGAGAGCGACGTTGTGGCCGGCGCGAATTTCCGCGGATTACCGCAAGGGCAGCTGAAGCTTACGGTGGACGCAGGCATCAAAGAACAAACAACGGCACAAACGAATTGTTGGCGCTCCGCGCGGACCTCCCAAAGTATATGTTCATGCAGTTGTTTTTTCGGGCCCATGCCAAGAACCACCCTGCTCGCCTCCAGGGCGCCATGGGTTTCTTCGGTTTCGATGGTTTTGCGATGGAAAGCGTGGCGTTCCCACACCAAAAATCGATGGACGCCCTGGGGTCTCAGGCTTTCTTGTGGACTGGCCTCCACTTGCACGCCGACAGCATCGCCCAGCGTTAAGTCGGGCACGTCCCTCTACAGGAGGACTATTCAAACATAGTCGAAACAATAGTCTGGGGACGACTTTTTCGTTTGCTTCAGGTCATTGTTGGCCATTCTGGAGTATTTATTGAGACTATTTGCGGTTTTTTCGTCTGAAATCCGCCTGTAGGAGGACACGCTCGGCCTAAGCCCAGCGGCGTCCGCGTGCGGGGCGCGTCGGCGTCGCGGTGACCGCTAGCGGCGCGGCCCGGGCGCCGCGGCAGACCCGCGGGCGAGCCGGAGCCTGCCGGCGCCCGCTGCGCGCCGCGCGGCCGCGGCTCGCGCTGTGCACCCGTTTTCGGGCGGCCTGGCGGTGCTCGACGGCCGCTCGCGGCGCTCGAGTGTTGATGGGCTGGTCTTCCACCACCACCACCACAAGTTGGAGGGGGAGGGGGTCCTCCTCCTCCTCCTCCTCCTCCTTTTCTTCCTCCGTTTTGGCTCAAGACCTTTTTGGGTCAGGCCGCGCCCGCCTTTCATTCTCCCTTTTACCAGCCCCCGCATGCTGGAGGGTGCGGATATCTTCTCTTCCGAGCCTGACAGAGAACGCCGCCGTGAGGCCAAAGTGGAGAGACGAGAGATGGAGGCGTACCAACTCGAGGAGCTCATCACACGTACGGCCAATCGGGCCGCAGAGAGAACAGGGGAAACGATCCTCGCCCAGGTGATGGAGGTCGCCGCTCAGGTGGCCCAGCAGACATGTCGTGAAATGCTGCAGGAATTCGACTCGAGACTGAAGAAGCTTGAGAGCAACCCCTCGATCATCGGCGGCGGCACTTCAGTCGCAGCCAGCGTGAACGGCGACGTAGGGGGCACTCTCAACTCCAACCCGTACAGCAGCAGCGGTGCCCATCGGCACGTACCAGGAGGGGTCGACATCCAGGGGTTTGTCGCAGACTGGAAGGATCCCGGCCCCACCTCACTCACGGCTTCAGGTGCTCGTACAGTTCTTCGGGCCACGCTGAACAACATCCCAGGGGACATCCGAGCTCTCGTGGACGCGGACAAGTCAGACAGTTTCCTGGACAAGAAAGCGCTGCATACCAAGATCACTATCTTCCTGAAGAATAAGAACCGAGGGGGCGCCTGGAATCTAAGTAAATCCATTAAGACCCTGATCGACCAGGGCGCCATCACCATCCACCAGAGGGCCCCCTCGGTCACCGTCGAACCAGATCTTTCTTTCACCACCTTCCGCCAGCAGGCCGCTAAGTTCTACAGCGCAGTGGAGAGCCTCAACCTGAATAAGGCAGAGCTCAAGCTGGACTACCCCAAAATCAGCGGGAACCAGCACATCGTGGCCCGTCGTGTATCTGGAGTACCTCACCCGATCAAGCTGGCGACGTACAATATGCAGTCGGGCTGGTCCATCATCGTCGGCAACTGGCGGGACTGGGGATGCCGGGCAGACGAGACGGCCATCATGGCCGCTATCACGGGCGCATGACGGACTCGAGGGCGTGCACGACTGAGGGGTTCTAGTCGCATTGTGGGTCTCACGCTTGTGTCTTGGAATGTTAACAATGCTCCGATGTGTACGATTCCAGAGATTATTTCAAAGGTTGTTTGTTTCTACGGACCTGATGTGATTGTGAGTCTTCAAGAAGTCTCCTTTTGGAAGGAGGAGCTTGAAGATGATGTACACATCGGAGGCTGGGAATATCATCATTAGAAAGGCTCATACGTCGCCTTCCCTGGCCTGTTCAGTTCTCTTCGCGCGTGCAGTCAGGCTACGTTAGCAAGGCGCGAGTGGCAGGGGTCACGGTTCAGAACTTCTGTGTTCAATCCTGATATCTTCCTGATTCCTGGGGCTACAACATCAATGGTTCCAAGGATAGTATTTCATATATCATCTCTAACTTTCGGTATATTACGGCCTCGCCATCATCTACTTCATCTTCATCCTATGCTCACGTCATCATGGGGGATTTCAATGCGTCACTACCTGAGGTCGAGGGGATCACGGGGGCTTCTGAATACAGGTGGGAGAGTGGGGATGCCTTAGAGAGACAAGTCGCCATCTTCGATCTCATGTCCACGTTCCGTTGCCATGCTGCCTCAACGTTTTTCACAGCTCATCAGAAGCCACCCGCTTTCTGTTCGTATAGTACTGGTAGTTGGAAAACTCTCGACTACATCCTTTGCAATCGCAACCTCCCTACCCAGGCTTTACCTCATAACGCCGGGTGTCTCTATCTTGGAGGTGCGAAGCGTGATCGCGCCCCGATTGGAATCCGTTTGCGAGGGTGGATCGACAAGCGTTTATATCAGAATCACATGTATCTCACAGGGTGGCAGCCAGACGGGGATACAGCCAAGGATCGCTTCAGAATGGGCTCCGAGGTCAAGCTGGGGGAAATCCAATTGGTCGAGTCGCCCCCCAGCCCCAGAGAGAACCTCCAGAGGGCCAGCGAGATCATTCATTCGTATGCCACCGCCATTCCATATTCAACTCGCTACTCTCGCAAAGCTCAGTTGCAGGCGCGTCCCCCAGAGGTCCTCAAGTCGGAGGGAAAATTAGGGGGCGCCTCAGGCACGCCCAACTACAAACCTGTTCGTACCAAACTTCGGAGAGCTCAGAGACGCTGGCGTCGACAGAAGGCCATAATCGAGTTCCACAGCGCTATGGCCAGGAAGGCGCAGGGAGTGGGCATCCCTCATGCCCTACATGATCGGGGCGGGCAGGCGCGCGTGGGCCGCTCAGCCTGGGCCAGCATCATCGAGGACTTCTGCCGCGAAAAGTACCGGGACCCCACTGCCACTACCTCCAACTTCCTTCAGCGGTTTCGCCTCCCCCGCCAACGCGGACATCATGAGGTGGCTGCTGGTCGTAGGCGCCCCGCCCTCACGGTCGGGCATGCGCGCGCCGCTCGGGCAAGGCTCAAGGCCGACAGCTCAGCGGGCAACGACCTGATCTGCGCTGAGATGGTGCAGGAATGGTTTACTTCCAGCGTAGAGGTTTGCTTTCAGCTTTTCAAGGCACGGTTGGGGGAGGAGGAGGATCAGGCCGTCTCGTCATGGACCACCATCGTTATGGCGTTGTTGGAGAAGGAGCGAGGAGCCCAACATATGTTTCTTTATCGTGGTGTTTCTCTTATTAGTGTGTCTCAGAAATGGTATATCAACACTCTTATGGTTTTGGAGGAGGATGAGGAGATGTTCAACGCAGACCACCTGGGGGACTTCGGATTCCAGACGGGTCGGAACTGCAGCCAGCTCACGGGGCCCATCAGGAACCTACTTTCAAAAAGGTTGGGAGTGGCCCGACAAGTTGTCGATCTTCGTCTTTTCAGGAGATGTCCTGCAGGTTTTCGACTATCTCAGCCCTGCAGCATGCGTTCACGCCCTTCAGTTTCGCCGCATGCATGGTTCTCTCGCCGCAGCCCTACTGCTGGGGGGTGTAGATCTCGAGTTGGTTCCTGCCTTCCGGGGCGCTCAGAGCCCTGTGCCTATTCCGCATACTAAATGTGAAAAAGACTGCGGCTACTGATGCCACGGGGAAATGGAATTATGTTAGTGAGCTTATCTTTTCTATCTTGAGGAGAATCTGGA